TCATGCGTGAGACGGTTAGGCTAACTCCACAAAACTTGACTCCTCTTATGTCTTTCACTGGGGCTGGGTTTGGACATCTTTTTGCTCACCTACACACACACAAATGAGAGTGAGTGATAGCCCAGTGAATTATATCAAAATAAAGGAGTACATAACTGAAATTTATAGCAGTCATATCATACGGTCTTAGGCCCATTCATAATTCAATCTAATATATCAAACGGCCTCAGGCCCAAACATATCAAATGGCCTCAAGCCCAATCCGATCTTATCAAACAGCCTTTGGCCCAATCATTTATATCAAACGGCCTTTGTCCCATTCATTCATGTCAAACGGCCTTTGGCCCAATCATTTATATCAAATGGCCTCCGACCCATTCAATCATGTCAAACAGCCTTTGGCCTAATCATGTATATCAAACGGCCTCTGGCCCATTCATTCATTTCCATACTCGTATCCGTGTGTGTGTCATACTCATGACCATAGTCACGTTCGTATTCAATTAGCCTTGTGTAAAGACTGTCACTCAAACTATTCATCCATAATTCAAATTATAGACCCATAGGGCTTACATAGTCGTAACATTGTAGAAATAACGTACTTGAACATATCTTTATTAAGATATTACTCACAGTGATCTGCTGGATGATTTGCCCTTGTGCTTGACCCTACACATTTCATAAACATAATGGGTCACAAGCGATTCAATCTGTTCTTAATTCGTATATCCTTCTTAGGCTTCATCCTTATCTTTTTAATCCATTTATAATGCTTAATGCATGCCTAAGAGTGCTCAGAAATGAAAGAGAACGGAAAACAAAACACAAAACTACTTTTCAAAATTTCTGAAATAGAGCTCTCCACTCGAGCGCAGCTTTTGCCGCTCGAGCGTATCCTTTTGGTCTGCAAAAGTACTGGTTACTTCATTTTTGCACTCGAGCGTGACTTCGGACACTCAAGCTGAGAGTCAAACATGTGAATGGACGCTCGAGCGTAACTCTCCCACGCTCGAGCGGACATCAATGTCTGCAAAACTTCTGGGAGCTAACATTTTATGCTCAAGCGGCGCTTTCCCGATGAATTCTAGAATTTCTAGAATTGTTCTTGAAGCTTAAACTCAAACCAAAAAGGCTCCAAAACTCATGTTTTTGATTCAAAAGCATGGAAGGACATCATATACACAAGAACATAAGTAATTGGGACCAACTGACTAAAATCATGGTCCACTTCATAATTTATCTTGAATTCTCTTCATAAGTTTCAAAACTCATGCATTCAACCTCATACAAACTCCATATCTTCATTTGTCATGCATGCATGTTAATTTTTGACTCCAATTCTATTTCAAATGGTACAAATGATACTTATAATCATGAAACTCATGAAAATTATGCATGCACGTGAAATTTGGTGCTCAATTCTACATGTTCATCATGCCTCATGTTTGATTATCCAAATTCATGGCAATTCTAAACATGCATGTGCATAGGCTTTAATTTCATCATAATCAACTCAATTCTTGGCCGCACTTACACATCTTGCTTGAATTCACTTATTTATGAATTTAATTTCATGAAGTTGAGCTCAAAGACTCACCTAGCGGCTCCAATTCTCACAAATATAGTTAAATCTTGTACCAATTCCCTTAGTCTTCCAATCTCTAAGTAAAATCTTCAATTTTGGCCTCTCTCTCTCTCTCTCTCTAAGTCGTGTACTCTCTCTCTCTTTGTCTAGAGTATATAATTAGATTTTGAGCTCAAAAAAGGAAGTTAAGTGTGTTTGGCCCCCTTTATATACACATCCTTAATCAAGTTTCATTAACACTAGTTAATTGAGCACAATTAAATCAATTTAATCTAATTAATTGGATCCGAATCAATTTTCAATTAAATTTCACCGTAGGCTCTAAAAATTACGCTAATCACAACGACATTGTCAATTTCAATTTCTGATGCCTCTACGACCTTCAATTTAAATTCTAAAACAGAAAATCAAGCAGATTTTCCTACAATGAACAGATAAAAATACAAAAACACATATAATCATATAATTATCACTCAAAACCATATCAAGCATATAATCACGATCATAATTAAGATCAATTAGTATAACACAGGACAGGGTTATCACATGCACTGAGGCAGTTTGAACGAGAGAATTGAAGACAATTGGGAAACCGTAAATTCATAACACCCTGCGGAGGACACCTATGATGTGAAGGTGATGTGAAGGTGATACAAGCAGAGCCGGACAACTGTTTATCAACTGTTGAGGGTGAATAGTGAGATGATAATGATCTGCATCTGGCCCATATTGACGAAGACTAGGGCGATTGCATTCTGGACAATACATGGTATGCCAAAGAAATAGATCATCTGACAAGAAGTAGGTAGTATTTTAAGCCGCAGTACTTAGATCAAGAAGAGGCATTTGGAAAGGACAAAGAAGCCGAGAAACAGAAGGAGAAACAACTAGAAGAAGATGCAGTATTTAAACAACTCAAGAAAATTCGAGCTGACATCTCCATTTGGGGTCTTTTCATGGTCTCACGAGTACACCGACAGGTAGTGTTATCTGCAATGGACAAGGCTAAATTGTCCATTGACACCACACCCTAGTAGCTTGTGGGTTTGGTTTTTCCAAGTGGTGCCAGGCCAATGCTTACTTTTCCTAACAAAGAGTTACCGCCGGAGGGCTCGGCTTACAACAAACCGTTGTACATATCTGTGGAATGCAGGGAGAAATGGGTGACGGTGGTGTTGGTAGATACCGGTTCACCTGTTCTTAATTCGTATATCCTTCTTAGGCTTCATCCTTATCTTTTTAATCCATTTATAATGCTTAATGCATGCCTAAGAGTGCTCAGAAATGAAAGAGAACGGAAAACAAAACACAAAACTACTTTTCAAAATTTCTGAAATAGAGCTCTCCACTCGAGCGCAGCTTTTGCCGCTCGAGCGTATCCTTTTGGTCTGCAAAAGTACTGGTTACTTCATTTTTGCACTCGAGCGTGACTTCGGACACTCAAGCTGAGAGTCAAACATGTGAATGGACGCTCGAGCGTAACTCTCCCACGGATTCCGGAGGTACAAGATTGATTGCGGGAGATTGAATACTATCCTCCATTTAAACTGGATTACAAAAATACAATCACAGAATCAATTTTACAGACATTAAATAAACAAATAGAACAAACAGATTGGAAGTGTTTATTTAATTCACATGACAAATAGTACAAACTCCAAATTGTATATTCATTTGAGAATCTAGTCTCAATGTGATGGATACTCAAATTCAAACTCCAAATAAAATATAATGTGTGCCAAATCTAAATCATTATTTATCAACACAGATCAGATCAGATCAAATTCAAACTCCAAATAAACTATACCAACTCTGAAGCAGATCAGATCAGATTTTTGCTGAATATCAACACAGACAGATCATTATTTATCAAAAAAAAAAAATATCAACACAGATACAGATTTTTACAAATCAAATCTAAATCAACCCAACTATACCAACTCTGAAGCAGATCAGATCAGATTTTTGCTGAATATCAACACAGACAGATCATTATTTATCAAAAAAAATATATATATATATCAACACAGATCAGATTTTTACAAATCAAATCTAAATCGACCCAACTATACCAACTCTGAAGCAGATCAGATCAAATTTTTGCTGAATATCAACACAGACAGATCATTATTTATCAAAAAAAAAAATCAACACAGATCAGATGGAAATGGAATCGGTGTTTCGCTGAGATAGAGAGAGAGAGAGAGACAGAGACAGAGACAGAGACTTACCTGAGAGTTGCCGAAGGTCGATCGGTGCTTCGCTGAGAGAGAGAGATGGAATCCGTCGCTTCGCTGAGAGAGAGAGAGAGAGAGATGGAAGAACAAGAGTGAGAGAGTGAGATGAGAAGAGAACTGTGAGAAGATGTTTTGAGAGATGCTTACCTGAGATGATAAGAATAATGATCAGTGGTTGCTTTGCTGAGAGAGATAGATGCCTGAGATGATGATGAACAGGTGTTTCGCCGATCGGTGGTCTGGTCGCTTCTCGCAGAGACAGAGATAAGAAGAACAACGGTGTGAGAGAGTGAAATGAAATGAATCTAGATGAGAAGGGTTAGGGTTTGTTTAAACGGTCCAGATTTGTTTGGGCCAAAAAGAATCTAGATGAACGGCTTAGTTTTTTCTTTAAAAAAAAAAAAATTATATAATGCGGGCGGGTTGTGTCGGGTACGGGTAAAACCCGCAACCCGCCCGCAACCCGAAATTCTCTCATTTTCCAAACCGCACTCTACCCTAATGTATTTGCGAAACCGCCCATATGCGTGCGGTTTGGATCGGTTTGGGCGGGTTGTGCGGGTCGGATAACCCACTGCCCACCCCTAATTTTTGTAAAATAGAGTTTGAATTTATTTTTATAAAATATTTTAACAAAAAACCAAAAAAATGTTTTTAATTTTTTTTTTCAACTTTGTTTGTTCTGGGAAAATGTGTTTTTTGGGAAATTTTTTATTTTTTATTTTTTGTTTGTGCTACCGCATGCCCCTCTTCATGAGGGGTAGTTTCGTAAATTCCCCTGACCGTTTATTGTTGCCAACCAACTGTGACTCTTTTGTCCTTTACTGGCTAAATTAGCCTCTTTTAACATTTAGTGACTAATTTAGCCCGGACGCCTTTCCCAAACGACCCCTAAATACACCTAAAAAAAATTAACTAAAATTTAAATAGATTGACTAAATTGTAACGACACTGATCAAGCAGATTACATAACACAAAAAATCACTTTCTTTTTTTCTCCCTCCGCTTCTTTCTCCTCTCCGTCGTCGTCGTCTCACATCGCTAAAGCAGTTTTTTTTCACATGGACCACACTAGTTTGGCAATCGATTTGAAAAGTGTCTCACGCATAATTAACCCAGTACTTATCATCCATGGAAGTCCATAGCTCGAATCAGACCCCCCATGGATTCTGGAAGTGATGCCCAATTGGAGAGCATGGATGATGGAGACTGTGTACCGAAGTAGAAAACGAAGTCGTTTAGGAGATTGCCCAGATTCAGTTTATGGAGTTGCTAGTCTTCAGATTGAGGTTGAGATTGAGAGAGATTAGGAGATTATGATCTGTGATAGGAAGCTCTCTAAACAGTATTGTTCAATAATTTTAGATCAGATTTTAAACAACTTTCATTGGAGACAAGCTCTTTCAATACATGTACATTTGTTGATAATTTTGAATTTCAATTGCATTTTGTTTATATTATTGCAAACAGTTTTCTTATCGCAAATTATACCGTAGTTTGTTTATTGTGTCGATTAGGTCGAAACAATTCCAATTGCATCCATTTTAAGGTTGGGTTTAGGGGCGCCTCTATTTACGCATCACATTTAGTCTCAAGGCACACCATTACTTAGTTTACACCTTTAATGATTTGAAAAAACATACAGTTTGTTTGGTTCTGGTTTTTAGAAAATTCTACTTTTTTATTTTTCGTATTTTAATATTTTCAATGAATTTTTTTAATTTTTTAGCAATTTATTTTTTTTTTAATTTTTAGACACACCTAACATAAATATACTTAAAAAGTATAATATTTGTGAAAAATATTTTTAAAAATTAAAAATACACAAAAATACGAAAATTGTACTGAATGTTTATTTTTATTTTTTTTGTATTTTTTGGTATTTAGTGTATTTTTTAAAGATTTTTTTCATAAATAATATACTTTTTAAGTGTATTTATGTTAGGTGTGTCTAAAAATTAAAAAAAAATTGTTTAAAACATTAAAAATATTCATTGAAAACATTAAAATACAGAAAATAAAAAAATAAAATTTTCTGAAAAACTGTTTTCTAAAAATCAAAACCAAACAAGCTGTATGTTTTTTCAAATTATTAAAGGTATAAATTGAGTAGTGGTGTGCCTTGAAACCAAATGTGGTGTGTAAACAGAGTCACCCTGGGTTTAGCGCTTTTTTTTTTAACATTTTTTTTCATTTTAGTAAAGTTTTTTTTAAAAAAAAAAAAAAAATCTTTTCAAATTTAAGTACTAGTGAACTCGACTGACTTAAAAAAAATAATTAATAATTAATAATTTGAAAAAGTCTATTAAAAAAATAAGTTGACTTTTTTTGTTTCATTTTTACGTTATTTGTTTTTATTTTATTTTTTATTTTTTTATTTTTGAGATCCTTTTAAAATATATGGATCTGAAAGTTAAAAAAAATTTGATACAAATTTTTTAAATTTCACTAAAGTAAAAAAAAAATATTTAAAAATTCTAATTCATCAATTAATGGACAAAATAGATAATTTATTATCCTGGAATTGATTTAGAAGTTGACTTCTAATCTAAAATAATTCATGGAAAAAATTAGTAAAAAATCCACTCTAACAATTGTCCAAGGCATTAGGTTTAGTATTTTTTTTTTTTGGGAGGGGGGGAGGATGGGTCCACACTTTCTAAAATAATTTGGTGAGAAACCCTAGAAGACATTTTGCTTCTAATTTTACTCATTGATTTTTTTTATCTGTTTGACTTTTCGTTGACTATCTGTTTAAATTTATATCTATCTGTTCAATTTTTTGTATGTAAATTTTCTATATGTTCAATTTTTTTTGTGTAAATTTGTTGTCCAAATTTTACCTGTGCAAATTTTTTACCTGTTCAATATTTTTATCGGTAGAAATTTTCTATCCAAATTTATCTGTGCAAATTTTCAAATATTACACTCAAACCCTATCTGTTCAAATTTTGCAATAAACAAGCCTTCCTTGACCTCACTTCCCAATTAACTAGTGTTTCTTGAAATCTTTGTCACTAGACAGTTTGGTCAAGAATTCTCTATATACCAAAATACTCAACATTCATATTTGATTCATACCAAAATGAACAATCTGGTTCAGCTGCTGATTATTGTACTTTATAGATTAACATTTTTTTAAAAAAATTGAACATTGTATTTTTTATTTTAAAAAAATTGAACAATCTAATTCATACCAAAATGAACAATCTCATTCATATTGTATATTGTATATTGAATTCATACCAAATTGAATATAGTATTCATACCAAAATGAACAATCTAATTCATACCAAATTGAATATTGTATTTTTTACTTTCAAAACTTTGAATCTGATTCATACCAAAATGCAATATTGTATTTTTTGTTTTTTAAATAAAAAAAATTGAAGCACCACAGACAAGTTCATCAAAATCATCTTCTGCATTCTCATGTAACTTCATACCTGGATATGGATTTGTAAAAATTGATGTATAAAGAGAAATAGAGAATTGTATTATTGATTGATGTGTGTTGTTGTTTTTATTACAAATGGTGAGTGGCTCATTATATAGGAGAGGGTGAGTGTAGTAGGTGAGGAGTAGGTGGTGGTAGGTGATGGTAAATTGGTGGTAGGTGATGGTAAATTTTAACAGCCCCCCGCAAACTCAAGGAGGATAGAAACTAACCAACTTGAGTTTGGAGAGAGTAACAAAACAAGAAAATACATAAAAATAAAAGAGGATAAGAGACACTGTATGGTCGTGTCAGACCATTGGTGAAAACACTGGATGGTGGTGTCATAACGTTGTAGAGGACACTGTATAGGGGTGTCATAACCATGTAGAGGACACTGTATGGTGGTGTCATAACGGTGTAGAGGACACTGGATGGCGGTGTCAGACCGATGTAGAAGACAGTTTATGGGGTCATGTCGGACCGTTGTTCCTGAGGTGGTATACAACAAACTGTTAATCTATTGGTGATTCTTCTTTTTTTGAGCACAAAGAAAGAGGCATTTGTGTTTCTTTCATTTCGATAATGTTACAATGACCACATTTGGTTTATCATGTGAGTAGTCATTATTGCATGGAAAGTGATGGGACCCATTACACCAATGACAACTCACATGGTGCATCAAATGTGGTCATTGTAGCATTATTGCTTTTATTTTACTGGTAGATCATAATAAAAAGGAGACATTTTGAAAAGATGTCACTTCTGACTTCATTCTCTTAAGATTGCAGTTGTGTACTTGTATTCGAATTTTGATTTGCAATCCAATAGGTGTCTCATTTTGGTTAAAAGTTACATTTAAATATACCATTGACTGAGGGCTAATTTTGGAATTAGAAAATGTAGAAATTGCCCTCCAGGATTTGGAAAGGAAGTATGTATCTGGTAAACAAAAGTTTTGTTAAAATTTGCTATTAAAGTGTCTAAATTTGTCATTATTTGTCTGAAAAGGTGAGCCATAAGTTAACATGCACGTGTTTTCATTGTCTGCAGGTGCAGAAGAGAAGGGACTTATTGGCAACAGAACTAAATGGGAAATTGCTCCAGAGAGCAAATTTGATTCCAACAAAAGTTGTGGACTGTGTGATGGAAAGAATCCAAGATATCATGTCAAAAGGGAGTTTAGACTGTAAAATGGTTTCTCAACATTTAGCTTGTACTGTCTTGGGAGCTACACTATTTGGGGATGCATTTTTGGGTTGGTCTGAGGCAACTATTTATGAAGAGCTTCTCATGATGATTGCTAAAGATGCTTGCTTTTGGGCCTCATATAGTGTTACTCCTATCTGGAAACAGGGATTTTGGAGGTACCAATATTTATGTACGAAGTTGAAATCATTGACTCAGGACATAATCCAACAGTGCAGACAAAATTACAAGCTATTTTGCCAAATGGATCAAAACCCTCATCATGAAACAAGAAATACAGTTGGTGGAGCTGCATCTGCTGCATCACATTCTGCTAATGTTGTGACGCCAGATAACATATTCTTACAGGAGTTTGATGATCATGTTAATGCAAGAGAACCATGTGGAAATATTATGAGTGTGATGTTTCATGGTTATCTAACTACCGCAGGTCTGATTGGTAACGTCTTAGCAAGGCTTGCAACAAACCCAGAAATACAAGATAAGGTAGCTGTCCTTTCTTTACCTAGTTCTTTAACATTTTGAAAGTTTTAAAATTATGTTATTTTGCATGATGTTTACATTTGTGATGTTAAATTGATGCCAAATATAAATGATTTACCATGGGAGTCCTAGAATGCTGCAAGTTAAAGCACTTTCAGGAACCACTTTTTAGATGTGGTTAATGTTGGAGAGAGAAGAGAGAGAAAAAACTAGGGTTTTGAAGG